TCTTTATTCCCTTACGAAAATAATAGTTTCATTTTCAAATGTTTATAAATTAATTATTAATATTTATAAATTATTATTAAGTGCTATTTGAGTTTTTTATTAGTTTTTTTTTAATTGTTAAAAATAATGTGTTTATTTTTTTAAATATATATTCTACACCACTTATATATTTATAACAACTACTAGTTTCGGGCCTATTTGCGAGAATTTACTTTTAAAAGTTCCCCCGGGGGGAAAAAGTCGAATCCGATCACGACTAACTGTAATTAGAGTGTACATACTTCTGTTTGCAAGATAGTTGACTTTACTATCCGTGTTTTACTCGGTTAACCATTTGCGACATTAAGGTGTTTCCATATCAAAAGGAAGTCGTTGTCGCTTTATTACGGTGGACATATCTCAGGCAAAAACAGTTTGTCCCCCGATATGCCTTTCTAACCAGTGTCTCTTGGGATTTTATGCACAAACCCTTTTGCAGGTTTGCTTTGAAAATCCTTCATTATGTACCGAAATACTGAAATACACGTTTTGAGAAAACAAGATTGAACAAGCTGGCCAGGGATCAAAATTCTCACACATCTTGCGAAATTATCTTTGTATAGGTATTAAAACATCAACATACAAAACTAAGGTAGACCCTAGATTATTAGGTTATGAACAGCGGGTAATTATTTAAATGTATTTTTTACTGAGCAAACTTTGGTTAATAGAGAGAAGAGAAGTTGGGAAAGCATAGAGAGGATCAATTATTAATGCTATAGCTTCGCCAAATTGAGATTTTTAGCAAAAAGGTATGCATTTTTGTTGAATCTCGTCTGGAGAGAAGAAGCCTAGCCTAGATTGATTTTGAGGTTCTATACCGAGGTCTCTGAAATCATATAAGCTTTAGTAGCAGCTATTGCGGTCTTTACTCATGTGATAACCAATGGGTGGCCTTACAGATTCTTCCATCTGTGGATCAGGTTGGCTTCTCAAACAGTATTCATGGCAAAATTTGTTGCAAGACCGTCGTTCTTCGTAAATATGTTGAATATTCTTCATCCACTTATTCGAAAATCGATGTTCTGCTTTCCTACCACCTTTAGTGTTTTTTTTTCCAATCCCCCGAGGTAATGGAATCCACACAGAAGTCACTATTCCAGCCGGGATCTCGTCTATCGCAACGGCCGCCAACTGAAATCAACTCTGCTGACGCTCATCCTGCTTCAGCTTTTTACATGATTGTTGGGATTTGTCTATCAACCGTTCAGTACAGCCATAACCATGGTTCAACACACTGTGTCTTTGTGCATATGTTTGTAACAGGCAAAAGGAAACGAGATAGACACATGGTTCCTTTTGAGAATATGCATAAAATCACTTTCTGAGTCGATTTATGCATGTCCGTCTGTAGATGTTAAATTGTAAACAAAGTACAGGTCGCATTTATGACCCGATTTGGATAAAATTTGGTCCACTTTATTGGTCCAAGGGCGAACCCTATTGAAATTGAGAAAATCGATTCAAATTTTGATATAGCTCCCATATATATATATCGGTTTAAGGTAAATGGGGCACCAAAGTTCCTATATATCTTTCGTCCGACTTTTGAACTTTCCTTACTGGTTAAGTGCTAACTAACTGGACGACCTAGATACGCCCTTGCCTTCATTCGCCCTAGTAGATGTTGCCAGGGATTTGTAATAATTCAAGGATCACTTCGAAGGTCCTGATTGTATAGAGATTCCTGACTTCATTTTTCCAGTTTTATCTTCCCTCAATGGAGGAGAAAACTGAGTGTATACCAACAGTTTTCTCCTCCAGTGAGGGTTCAACTTTACACACCTTTGAACCTTCAATAAATAAGTCGCTCATGTCGCAATTCGGATTTGAAGGAATCTATGTCCCTTATGGTATTTCTATCATCCTCGATCCTAAACGGTATACTCGGAGTAGCTCAAGTACGACTTGGAAAATGAAGTCAGAAAACTGAAATCAATCAGCCAAGGGAGCATTAGAAACTAAAAACTTCTGCAACCGGTTAATCGAGGAGGATAGAAATACCATAAGGGGCAAGGATTCCTTCAAAGCTACTCTGAGTATTCTTCCCCAGTTGTGGTTAAATTGAACCACCTTTACATTCATTCAATCAAGTTGTTGTTATTTAGTAAGTTTTTTTTTCGAATGTGAGAAATTTCTTGTCCTTAGTGTACCGCCTGTTGGACCGGTTGCAGAAGTTCATGGCTCTCCGGTAGATCTATTTGTCTTACGTTCTTTAACACAGTTTGTGGAGGATTGTGATAATGTATCATCCATTTTGTCAAAGGGAAGATAATCGGGATGAAAATCTACTTCAATAGCCTCTTTCTTTAGAATTATTGGCTTGCCACCATAGATTTGGGGTTTACATTTCGCCAAGATCTTAGCTTACATTAATGATTTTCCTTGAGTTGGGATGCCACATGTTTTATCTTTGTGTTGATCACTGTGGCGTGATCCATGTCCTTCAAGGACAAGTCATTGCAGTGGTAGTTCTTGATATTCCCTTGGCTAAGTATGAAATATACGGATTTCTCAATTAATTGGAGGAGCATGACCGTCTGTTCTCGCATTGTTGTCATTTGTAAACTTTAACCCTTTCAGTGTCAAAAAAATTTTTTTTTGGGATGAAAATCTAAAATTTTGTATTTAAAATCATATAAAGCGACATAGTTTAGAAAAAATAGCAATTGTCATTTTAACCCTCGGTCAGTTTCGTCTGTTTTTCAGCAAAAACAAAAAAAAAAATCAATAGTAACGGTACATAAGATAACTGAAAAATCGCAAAGAAAGAGAGTACTTTTAAAAGTCGAATATATTCGACAAAAACACTGAAAGGGTTAAGACTGTGGGTGCCTTGGTAGCTGCACAAACATCAGGCGAAAAAAATCCCATTTTATTTATTAGGTTGGTGCGTATGAAATGTCGGATTCTCTTTACATGCGGACTTTTGCCTCCCTGTTTTCCTTATACTTTTGCTTTGGCATAACCTCATTCATAGTATTGTTCATTGCCAGAGATTCATTTCAGCAAAATATGTTATCTCGAATTCTGCCGAAATTCGCGTAATTTTCTTATATGAGTACATACTTGATAATAGTGCTGCAAAAGCTGCACGCAACATAAACCCAACGGTTAAGGAGAATGCGGTTAAGGATCGGAAAGTGCAGCATTGGTTCAAAAAATTGTGGACTGGCGATTTTTCACTGAAAAATGAGCCGCGCGGAAGACCCCTAATGTCTGTGAAGAATGATGACCTGAAGGCTCTAGTGGAAGTATCCACGAGGGAACTTCCAATCACGATGAAAGTACTGCCAGTATATAAATGCGATGCACGATAAGTAAAAAATTGTACGCCCATTGCTTGTGAATCGGTATGGCCCGCTACTGCTCCACGACAACACTCGGCCGCATACAAGCATTTAGAGCTGTTTTTAAGGGGCAAACACTATGAAAATGAAGACAGTCTAAAAAACTCAATATCAATGTTTATTAATTCTAAAGACCAAACATTTTTAAGACAGGCATCTACGCTTTAAAATCTCGTTGGGAGAAGTGTATTGAAGCGAATGGCTTCAAAAGCTGTTTGAATAAACAGCTTTTGAAGAAAAATATGCAGTTTTATACAATCACTTAAGAATCCGACATTTCATACGTATCCATCTAATATTTACAGGACATCAATAAAAACATTTATTGTATTCTAAATTTTTATTTATTTATTACTTGCCATTTTTAAATTATTATTGTATGTAAAATTGTTATGCATAAAAAATATCACTACAAACATTTTTTTGACTTTTACTATTTTTTTATATCTCTCGAACCCTTTAGATTTTTTTTAATCGCCACCCCTCTAAATCCATTTTTCTCTCTTCTCTAAAATAAAATAAAAAATAAATGTTCTGTACGTCTTTATATTCGTTATATAAAGAAAAGAAAAACTATTCCAATGGCATAATGCTCAGAAAATTATTATGTGTTATTGCTATCTTGCTGGCTTTTTCTAATTGATCGAATCTACTATCAATTGGCTTTTTAAATCCATGTACTAATATTGGTTAAAAACTAAATGTGATCATCATGTTCTCGTTTATAACAACAACTGTCGTACAGTTCATGCTAAATGAAATATTTTCAAATTTCTTCTTATCCAACCTAAAATGCAATGTGGAATCCACATTAAAAAAATAATTTTTTTTGATGTTGTTAAGGTCCGTAGTGGGAAATCGAATTGCATATTTTTAGGGGCTTTTTTCTATTGGCTATTAAGAAATAATTTTGTTATATTTTAATGTTCTTGATACTGAAACTATTTAGGAATTCATTCCATTTAAGAATTCAAATTAAGGAATTTCTAAAAAATTTCAAGAGATCTCAAGTCAAATAATATGCAATTTCTTTCTCCCACTACGCCCCTTATTATTGTTACCATTTTGTTCTTTCGTTCGTTCGTTTGTTTTGTTTTTCTTGTATTTTTAAGAATTTTGTTCATTGTCTTTTCTGAATCTCTTTCATATTTCTTGTGAATAGTCAGAGTTCGTCTATTGTTTGTTGTTTTGTTTTTTGATTTTATTTTTGGTCATTTGTTTTCTATTGTTTATATACTTTAATGAAATTTACTTGACGCCTTTAAAAACTAATAAAACTGTTACAGTCGAATATGGGTGGATAAAAAGGATCAAGGTGGGACTTGAAGCAGGACAAATTTATTGAAATTAATATTCCAAGTCTCAAGAAATTGTCTCTACTTGAAAGTCTAAAAGAGGATTGGCGTTTGTTTTTAAATTCAAGTCAATTATATATGCCCTCATCGACTGTGATAGTTTTAAACATAATATTTCTGTATGTGTGTGTGTTCCATTATCATATTTAATGTTGTAGATACTTTCTTATGACCATGCTTATTTACATCTACTAATTGTTTTTTCTTATTTTATCTGCTTTCTATTCCCATTTGTTCCTTCTACTCCTTAACACAGGTATGGGCATTTACGATACACGACCACCAAGGCCAAACTCTATCGAATTACGACGCAGTTATCAATCAGAGCAAATTGATGGCGTTTATGGTCCCCTGTCGCCTCAGACGGCTGGCCAAATGATGGCAAATGCCCAAGGTGGCGGCAGTCAATATGCCACCACTGGTTATGCAGCCAATGGTATGCATCCGTCACAACAAATGCTACACCAACAGCAGGGTATGGCTGGTGGTATGCAACAACAACAGCAGCATGCTCATGCTCAACAAATGTATGAAGATGCCTTATACCATCAGTCACAAGGTTTATATGGGCAAACAGGAGGACAGGGCGGACCAATGTCACCCGAACCTATTTATGCGCCGGGTACACCATCACGCACCAAACCACGACCCTCAGTACCACCACCAGCACCACCGGGCGGCAGTAATGGCGGTACACCAACAGCATCGAATGCTAATACACCAACACGAGGTCGCAGTATGTCAACAAGTCGTGATGCCCTGCCGCCACCACCACCCATACCCGATGGTATGGTCAATACAAATTCACCATCACAAATGTTAGCGGCCATGAATGGGGGTATACCACCGGGTGGTAGTGGTCATATTGCAGCGAAATTATTGGCACGTACCAATAGCACATCGAGAGCTGGCTCTCCACAATTGGCAACAGGCAACAGTGTGCAAGATGCTAATGCCATGGTTATGGCTCAATTAAATAATACCATTAACAGTTTCAATACAATGAGTTTGGGTGGTGGTGGTCAAATGAATTCACTGAATGATTTGCCTCCACCACCGCCGGTGCCAGATCAGGTAAGTGTGGCTGTTGTGTACTTGAAGTGTTTTTATATTGTTAATAAGAAATGCGCTATTGTAATGATGAATAGAGGGAGAGAGAGAGGGCAAAAAGTTTGCAATACATAATTTAATTAAATTTATTTTACCCCTCCCTTTTTTGTATTGCGTTGAAGAGTCAATATTGAAGAGAAGGTCCAAGTCTTAAAAACATATTTACGAATTTCAAAATGTCCTTTATTTCTTAAAGTAAAATTAATTTTTTAAATCGCTTAAGAAATCTAGATTCAAAAAACATACTTAAGATCCCCAATATTTCCTATTTTATTAAAAATGATTTACGAAATCTGTACTCATGTACAAGGAAAGTCCAAATCTTCAGAAACTTCTTTGTTGATTCGTGTATAGAGAGTTCTCCGTGAATGTGGGATACATCCTTCTAAAACTTCTCTACAGATACCACTAGCAATCGCCACTTAACACTCTGCCAATCTCCAACTCTATATTGGCCTACATTTCTTTCCCCACATCTACACAAATCTCCCTCCTTCCTGATCTCATATAAAATCTTTCGGCATAATATTCTATATATAACCTCTATCTCTCTTCAATAATCTGTAAAATAACCTTCTCAATCTCCCTTATGGACACTTTCGATCTCCAACTCGTCTATTAAGACTTTCTCTACAGCTACATCAATCTCTACTTCAGATTTTATATAAAAAATATCACCTTTCACCTAGACTTATTTTGCTAATAACATCTGAGGCCCTATCTTATAAGTATTTAGTTTATGTAAGAATTGTATCCTTCAGATCTCTATTATTCATTCATTCGAATTTTACTTCTTGCTTAAACTCGTCTATGAAGAGCATTATAAAGTCTACAAGCTCCAGCTCGTCGATTCGTCCGTATAGAATCATCATTACAGTTCGTCTATAATGACTTGACATATCACAAGTCTTTTATAGAAACTCCCGGCTTTATCTCGACTATAAAAACCCTCTGCTTTAGCTTCTCTATAAAGACTACCGCTGTACCTTGCCTATGAATGTTCCTCGCTTTAGCAACTCCCTACTTCAGTTAGACTTTAGTCTTTGGATACTTTCTGCTTTAACTCTTCAATAGCCACTCCTTATCCCAACTCGTCTTTAGTTTTTTTTTGAGATTCCATAGACTCGTTCAAAGAGATTCCCATTAGCTCGTCTCTAGAGACAATACCTCTTTCGGTACGTCTTTAGGCACTTCCTACATTCCTATAGATATTCCCATCTGCCCAATGTGTATAGAAAAATTTCTCTTCAGATAATTTATATAAACTTTAAAGCATTTACTATTTTATTAACCTGTATATTTATTTTTCTTCACATTTTTTTATTTTCTAAGGGCTACTATGGTGTTGTATCAAAGGTATTTTTCACTAACTAATATTTTTTACATTTTTTTTGTTTTGTTTTGAAATTAAAAATCTACAATTAGTCCTTCAAAGATATTCTTCACAATCGATAATTTAGTGGTTCAAAAAAATGTCATTTGTTTCCTCAACCATAATGTGGGCATTTAAAATAGTTATATCGATCGACATTACCAAACTACTATTGCTACAAGGAAGTAGTGCCACACTACATACACACTCATGGTGGAAATTCGGACTAGGACCGTCAACATACCGAAAAAAGACAAGATAAGCAATATTTCATGTAAAGCGAGCAGACATAGGTTCCTCCATTTGCATAAAATCGGACGAAAATATATGAGGGAGCTATATCTAAATCTGAACCGATTCCAAAAAAAACTTCGCTTACATCAATCTAGACCTAAATCAGTACTCTGGGCAAAATTGTATCTCAATCGTACCTACATTGGCAGTATTGTGCTCCATTTACATTAAATCGGACGAAACTGTATATGGGAGGTATATTCAAATCTGAACCAAATATCAATAAAACTTCGCATACATCAATGTGGACCTATTTGAGTACGCTGTGCAAAGTTTAGTTTCAATCAGTGCTCCATTTACATAAAATCGTACGAAACTATATATGAGAGCTCTACATAAATCTGAATCAATTCCAACAAAACTTCGCTTACATTAATCTGGACCTAATTCAGTACTCTGTGCAAAATTTTGTCTAAATCGGACCAATTTTGGAAGTTTTGTGTAGCATTTACATGAAATTTGGACGAAACTATAAATGGGAGCTATATCTAAATCTGAACCGATTTCAGTAAAACTGCTCATACATCAATCTGGACCTAACTCAATACGCTGTTTTGTCTCAATCGGGCCAATTTTGGGAGTATGGTGCTCCATTTACATAAAATCGAACGAAACTATATATGGGAGCTATAACTAAATCTGAACCGATTTCCACAAAACTTTGCATACATAAATTTGGACCTATTTGAGTAAGCTGTGCAAAATTTTGTTTCAATCGGACTAATATTGGGAGTTTGGTGCACCATTTGCATAGAATCGGACAAAAATATATATGGTTGCTATATCTAAATCTTAACCGATTTCAATAAAACTTCGCATACATCAATCTGGACCTAATTGAATACGCTGTGCAAAATTTTGTCCAATTTTAATAGGGTTCGTCCTTGGCTCTCATAAGTGACATTTGCCAAATTTCATCCAAATCGGATCATAAATGCGGCCTGTACTTTGCTATCTGAAAAAAATTACCTATATACATAATTTTTTGTGGAAAGATTTGGTATCTATTAAGAACACAAAATACTGACTTACTGCCAATTCGGTTGAAAAAACGCGCTTAGGGTACCCTTATATGGGGGCTATCCGAAAAAATGTACCTATATACATAATTGTTTGTGGAAATATTTAGTACCTGTTAAGAACTCAAAATACTAAATTACAGCCAATTCGGTGAAAAAATGCGATCAAAACCCCCAAAACACTGAAAATTTAGGGGATACCGTTATATGGGGGTAGTGGACCTATATTTATAATTTTTAGTGGAGATATTTTTTTCCCCCAATAAGAACCCAATGTACCAAATTACAGTGAATTCAGTTGAAAACGCGTTCAACAACCCCAAAATACCGAAAATTGGGGTGTTCCCCTTATATGGAAGCTATGCCTAAACGTGGACCGATATATCCAATCATCGAACTTGACCTGCCTGCATATAAAAGACGACTATATGTTGCCAACCTATCTCGATTCGTTTACAGACTCTGGAGTGATTACAACAGACAGACAGACATGCTTAGATCAAGAGGGTTAAATGATCAAGAGAGTCGGAAATGATTTCGATGAGTAACAAACGGAAAAACAAACCTAATATACCCTCCATACTCATAGTATGGAGGGTATAAGAATCCACGCTTATTGGTCGGATAGTCCTTCGAAACAATTTGAAACAATCTACGGTTAAAATCCTTCAAATGTTCTTTAAAACCCATGCTCATTGTCCAAGTAGTGAATAAACAAAATTCTCAAAAGACCACACTTTTTGACCAGATAGTGGTGGATATGTTTGTCCTTAAAAATATTTACGTTCATCGATCAGATAGTGTTCAAAAAATATTATGCGTTTACAAGTTGAACCCAAAAGTCTTACTTAGAAACCCAACGTAGATAAGTAGTAGGACATACACTTAAGCTTGCGATAGGCCTGTTGTGATAGTTTTCCAAGATTATTCTTAAATATCTGTTATTGATATATGATTATTTTCTGTTTTTTTATAATTTCTTTTAAATGTTTGTTTTGGTTATTAATTGTATATTTATTTTCACTTTCTTTGCAATTATATTTTTTAACTTTTAATATTAATAATTATTTTTGTTTTTTCCATTTTATAGCATGAACCAAAGTTATCACCACCTAATTCTGCGCCACCACCGCCGCCTCCACCACCACCACTAGATGAAAATGGTGGTACATCACCCATACAGACGCAAGCACCACATCAAATTATGCCAAAACCTTTGCCCAATGGTGATATACAAACGAATGGTCTTAAGCATATACCCAAGAAAATATTGCCACCATTCCATGATACGCGATCGGATCTAATGAAATCTATACGTGATGGTAAGTATAGTGCTGCTTATAACACACAAGTGGTTCCAGTTGAATAACTATCATGACTTTTCTTTACAGGCATTACACTGCGTAAAGTTGAGAAATCGGAACAAAAAGAAATTGAACGTAGCACTGGTCTGCATGATGTCGCTTCCATATTGGCCAGACGTGTGGCAATTGAATTATCCGAATCCGAAGAATCAGAATCGGATGATGACAGTGAAGGTTGGATGGAACCAAATGAGACTTCTGCTTGATCCCTTATGTCTTCTTTAATACCTGAAAAAATCAAAAAGAAAAAGTAAACGAACACGAAAAGAATAATTATAATAATCATAATAGTAAAGAATAATAGTTTTGATGTTACAATGATGATGATGGGCTTTATAAGAAGAAAAAAAGTAGCAAAACAAAGTAAAGTAAAGAGAAAAATATATGAACGAAAACGATTTCAGTCAGTGCACTCACTACATTGATATATACACCCTCTCTCTCTATATATTCCTATCCTATATAATCATCATACCCCGCTCTTTATACGCAAAAAAATGAAAACTCAAATATTAAAGGTCAAGTCATTTTCTAAAGAAAATAAACAAGATTAAAAAATAATTAACAATTTAAATGTGCAAAAATTGCCACAATATAATAACTAATTAATTAATAAAAAAACAAAACAATTTTGATATTTTATATTTTCGCTCAAAAAAACAAAAAATTGCATTCTTTAAGAAAAACAACAAAAAACAAGGTTAGGGCAAAGAAAATGAAAACATAAAAGTTCGATAAAACCCAATGGCAATTGTTTATAAGGAATTTCCCATTTCGATATAACGACGAAATTTAAATGTTTTTCCTTTTGGCTATAATTTAGAAAAAATCGATAATCGTTCACTTATAAACGGATGGCCAACTGTTTTTCTTTTCTTTACCCACAAATATTAATGATAACAAAAAACAATATATGATAATTATTATAATTAATATAACTCTCCATTGTACATATATATAAAATACTTCAACAATTTAAGAAAAGATGGTTAATTTTTTTAAATATAAATCAACAACAACAATAAAAATAAACAATAAATAACTTATTATATTCTAAATGAGAAATATAAAAACAAATTACTTGACAAGATATAAAAATAATACATGAACTGCTGCGGCTGCTACATGCAGCAAGTGTGGGAGAATCACAGCATTAGAAGGGGCAACATGAGCATCCCTCGATAACAAAATAAGGTTTGATTTTTTGCATTACCATTAATCGAAATTCAGCCTTAACGCAATCTTAGCCAGAATCCTGTAGACATTATGATTTCGTTTAGAGTTTACAGTTATCATTGATTTAGGATTTCCAAAAATTTTATCTGTAGCGGCAGTCATTGGATAATGTCGGATTATTTAGAAACTATGATCAATCGATTATACTGGAATAATTGAAAAAAACTCCTACGAAAATTATGAAATTCTTTAAATTGATCTGAAAATCCTTCAAAAAATTATTCCTAAAAAATTCAAACTTATCTCTCTGAAATTTCTTTACAAATATTTCCACCCATTTTTGATTACAAAAAGTCAAAGTCTTTCATAAAATATTTTTAACCAATAAGCGGAGCAGTATAGTCGGTCGTACCGAACATATCGTAACCCACACAACTACCACGGGAATAAACTTCTAGATTCTTAGCAGTATTCTGCGACAATTTCCCCATATTTTGTTATATAACAGTACTCAACTCTCTCGACCTACTAAATGTTGACCGATTAAAGACAGATATGTTTAAACGTTGACTATACTTCTTTCTTCGTCTGAAATTAAACAATATGAGGATATGTAAATCCTTGGAAGTATTTTGATACACAAAAGTCTAGATCCAATTAACCCGCTAAATGTTGGCCGATGATCATCAAATGCCTGATTTCAGATCTCTTTTTTCGACGTAGAATTATGTGATGTTCGTATCATAAGTGGCCTCTAAAGCGGTCAAAAATAAAGCTTTTGGTCCAATTTGTTGACTGCTATATATTGACCGATCTGCGATCGTTGACAAGAATTCATTCTTCGGGAAAATTAAAAATATGAGCATATGTAGACCCTTGTAAATATTTTGACATAATTTTTACACAAAAATCTACACCCATTTCTGAAAATGGATCTAATTGTTGACCGATAATCATCAAAAATATCCGTCTGATCCCTTTCATCATGTAGAATTTCGTGATTATCGGGTGGGCTGTAGAGCGACAAGATATACAGACAAAAAATATTTTTTGGTCCATCATTGAACCTAAAAATTTTACGCCTTAAAAAAATATTTAACGAACTCCTTACTTTTGCAGTTGATATCGTTTACTCCATTACAGTGGGTAGTCTGTCTGTGATCGTAGGACAGTCACTGATGTGTCCGACGGGTTAGACAAATTATTTTAATTTGATCATCCGGTACTATATTTTTAGGTTTGAATTTTTCGAAGTTTCCTTCATTCAGTGGTACAATCTTCACGTCGTTTTCATAGCCACTGGCTGGGAGATGGATATGGTCATAATTTTTCAACAGCTTTCGAAGAGGTCGATGCTAATAGAAATACATCAAAAGGTTCCATGCCTTCACCGTCACTTTTTTGAAGGATGTGAATGTGTTGTCGGCTTCGTTCCTTGTTAAGGTCTTTGTTATGGGTATGATCATAATTTTTCAATGCTATTAGGAGTACATCAGAGGATTCGGTGATTTCACCGCCACTTTGAAAGGATCTGGATGTATTGCCGACTTCCTTTTCTGTAAAGGTCTCATTGGGTGTTGCTTTTGTACGTGAGATTGGAATTCCACTAAGCGAGAATTCCAGTGTAGAGCAATTAGTTCTTTTCGAACTTCTTATGTTCCTTATACATATAGTGTCACACTTTGGGTACTCTGAAGATTTTTTCGTAAGATTTTCCTACCGAAATGACCAAAATTTGCCATGGCGGTTTTTTGGAGGCTAACATTTAACGTTGCAGAACAATGACTCATTTAGGTCCATATTTTCATTTAGCTCGCATATAAAAGAAACGACTCCATATTCGTTATCTTGAAGGATTTTCCAGAATTTTTATACCAAAGGGACTGTTAATTAGTGTTCCCGAATTGTGACATACATCTATGCAATCAGGACAATATTTTGACCAAAGGCCTTATATGAAGATCCAGCTCTATTATCCGAGCTTTAGACGAATTCTCCACGCCTAAAGATCGCATAGTGGTTAAAAAATTTTTTTTCTAGAAAAATCCACGCCTAAAGATCGCATAGTGGTTAAAAAAAATTCTAGAAAAATCCACGCCTAAAGATCGCATAGTGGTTGAAAAATATTCTAGAAAATCCACGCCTAAAGATCGCATAGTGGTTGAAAAAATATTCTAGAAAAATCCACGCCTTGTGATCGGATTGTGGTTGAAAAAATATTCTAGAAAAATCCACGCCTTGTGATCGGATAGTGGTTGAAAAAATATTCTAGAAAAATCCACGTCTTGTGATCGGATTGTGGTTGAAAAAATATTCTAGAAAAATCTATGTCTAATGGTTGGAAAGTGGATGAACAAATTATCTTAACAAAATCCTCGCTTAATGATCAGATAGTGGTTGAAAAATATTCTTAAAAAACACACGCCAAATGATCGAATAATGGTTGAAAAAATATCTTTAAAAAATCCGCGCCTAGTGATCGGATAGTGACTGAACAAATATTCTAGAAATTTTAAAAATTATTGAGGACATTCATGAAAATATATTGACCATTAACGACTGTCGCATACCCACCCCCCAGGTTAATGCAATAAAAAACACGATTCTAATAATACAACCTCCTCTCCCCAACCATTGTAGTGGTTTATAAAAAATCCTTCTAAAAATCCAATATTAAAGAAAACTATAATCGATTTAAAACAAACCTATTAAGATATTTTTTTATATATAAATATTGAATATTAAGTGTAAAACTATATTATTTTTTGTGTATGTGTACGTATTTGTTTGTTTTTTTATGATAAGAATTTGTTTTGTGTCTGTGTAAAAAATAAATATATATATTATTTATTATTTTTAAATAAATACAAATGAAATTGAATTAAATAAATAAAAAATTGAAATGATTTTATTTTCTATTTTCCTTCCTATTGTTTGTTCTTTTTTAGTTAAACAAAAAACCTGAAGACTTGTGTTTCTTTTTGTCTTCATTTGTTCCTTATTTATGCCAATTGAAATAAAAAAACGGCAAAACGAAATATAATAATAAAAATAGTAATAATATATGAGAAAAAATTTATATATGAATAAAAGAAAAAAAAACACACATTTTGTTTACACTATTAAATCTAAATTAAATCAATAATGATGAATGAATGCAAAGGAAAAAAAAAATAATTAATAACAGCAAAAAAATTAATTTAAGAAGTTTACAATATTAAAAAAACAAATCAAATTTAATAAATGAATCATATTGATATACAAATAAAAAACGTGTAATTTTGAATGGAAACCCTTCTACTTACTTTAAAGTTGATATTTTAATTTAAAAAATATTTTGTTTAAAAATTCCACAATTATTAATGGGATATTAGTCTTGGAAACTATATAAAAGAACGCGCTTGTGTACTGGAAAGAGATTCAAAAAATATTTTCTTAAAAACACATTATTGATTATTGACCTGAAAGTTGTTGTAAACAATATTTTGTCGAAAATCTATGTTTATTGAACGGAAATAAATTCAACCAGTAAGGAAAGTAGTAAAGTCGGACGTGGCCGACTATATGATACCCTTCACCACTATGAGTATATTAAACAGGACTATTAACATGAAATTGGATGAACTAAATATGTGATATTTAGCTAAATGTTAAACGACTTAGGTCAATCCATAAGCATGTCATTCGTTTATTACAATGGGATTTTCACAAAACTAAGCACACATCATTCCAGACTGAATTCAGTACGCTATGCCAAATTTCGTGCAAATCGAAAGATATATAGGGACTTTGATGCACCTTCTACATTAAATCGGACGAAAATATATATGGGAGACAGCAACGTACACAGGATTTCATTTCGGGGAGGGCCCGGTAGTGCAAAACGAAAAAATTCGCTGTTGCAAACAAAAATTCATGCCCCTCTGCGTACGTCCCTGATGGGAGATATATCTAAATCTGGACCGATTTTCACGAAACTTGGCAGACATCACTCCAGGTTGAATTCTGTATGCCATGCTAAATTTCGTGCAAATCGAATGATATATAGGGACTTTGGTGCACCATTTACATGAAATCGGGCGAAACTATATATGGGAGCTAAATCTAAATCTGGACCGATATTCTTGAAACTTGGCAGACATCACTCTTGGCTTAATTCAATACGTTATGCCAAATTTCGTGCAAATCGAAAGATATATAGGGACTTTGGGGCACCATTTACATGAAATCGGACGAAACTATATATGGGAGCTATATCTAAATCTTGACCGATTTTCACGAAACTTGACAGACATCATTCTAGACCTAAATGATTAGGCTGTACCAAATTTCGTGCAAATCGAAAGATATATAGGGACCGTTTACATTAAATCGGTTAAATATATATATGGGAGCTATATCTAAATCTGAACCGATTTTTCCCAATTTCAATAGGGTTCTTCCTTGGGCCAAACAAATGAGCTGTGCCAAATTTCATCCAATTCGGATCATAAATGCGACCTGTACTTTGCTAACAAAAATACATGGACAGACGGACGGACATGCATAAATCGACTTAGAAAGTGATTCTATGCATATTCTCAAAAGGAACCATGTGCCTATCTTGTTTCCTTTTGCCTGTTACAAACATATGCACAAAGACATAATACCCTGTACCACAGTGTGGTGAAGGGTATAAAAAAATAATCGGATCGGATAGTGGTTGAAAAAATATTTTTTAAAAAATCTACGCATATTGATTGGACAGTGGTTGAAAAAAAATCATAAAAAATCAATGCCTAATGATCAGATAGTAGTGGAAAAAAGATTCTTAAACAATCCACGCATATTGATCGGATTTTGGCTGACAAAACATTCTTAAAAAATCCTTGCCTTCTCATTGGACAGTGGTTGAAAAAATATTTTCAAAAAAACCACGCCTATTGATCTAATAGTGGTTGAAAAAATATTCTTAAAAACTCCTCGCCTATTGTTCGGATAGTAGTTGAAAATATATTTTTTAAAAATCCACGCCTATTGATCTAATAGTTGTTGAAAAAAATATTCTTAAAAACTCCTCGCCTATTGATCGGATAGTAGTTGAAAAAATATTATTAAACAAGTGAAAAAGCGTTAAATTCAGCCGGGCTGAACTTTGGATACCCTCCACCATAGATATACCGACAGGTACTTGAAATGAAAATACCAAAAAGTAGACCTATACCGACATTCCTACAATTCGATTATGTAAACCATAATGTAATGTTTGCACCAAATTTGTTTCAGAAAAATTTGATTTCGTCCAAACTTAGTTAAAATTCGAAGATGGGGAATATCGGTCCACTCCTTCTGGTACCTAGGGCTAGGCCTAAATACGGGTTATAGTTCATATATAGTTCTTTATCGAACCTACGTTCTACTTTTTATCTCCATATATAGAACTTCAGTACGTTTTGCAAAATTTTGCGGCAATCCGACCCACCTGGGGAGTTTGGTGCATCATTTATATCTAACTTCTAGGTTGTACTAACATCAGTACGTTGTGCGAAATTTTGTGTCAAATTTGTGTAAGATCGGACGAAAATATATATGTAGAAGCTATATTAAAATCTGCACCGATTTCAATGAGACTTGCCAGAGATAAACTTATATTTACTATAGTTCATTGTACAAAATGCAGTGGCAATCGGGCAAACTTTGGGTCTTTAGTGACAATTTACATAAAATCGGAAGAAACAATATATAGAAGCTATATCTAAACTTGGAGCGATTTTCACGAAACTTAGCAAACATTATTCTAGACTTAATTCATTACGCTATGCCAAATTTTGTCCAAATTGAAAGATATATATGGACTTTGGTTTACCATATACATTAAATCGCTCGAGAATATATATGGGAGCTATATCTAAATCTCAACCGATTTTCACGAAACTTAACACACATTGTACTAGACTTCAGTACGATATGCCAAATTTCGTGCAAATCGAAGGATATATAGGGAGTTTGGTTTACCATTTACATTAAATCGCTCGAGAATATATATGGGAGCTATATCTAAATCTGTACCTATTTTCATGAAACTTACGACTCATCATTCTAGACTCAATTCATTACGCTATGTCAAATTTCGTGCATTAAATAGGACGTAAGTATATATGAGCTATATCTAAATCTGAACCGATTTTTACGAAATCTTCTACTAATCATTCTAGACTCAATTCGGTATGCTACCAAATTTCGAGCAAATCGAACGATATATAGGAACTTTGGTGCACCATTTACCGTAAATCGGACGAAAATATATATGGGAGCTATATCTAAATCTGACCTGGTTCTTTCCAATTTCAATATGGTTCGTCCTTGAGCCAAATAAATGAGCTGTGGCCAATTTCATCAAATTCGTATCAAACCAGTAAGGAAAGTAGTAAAGTCGGACGGGGCCGACTATATGATACCCTTCACCACTTTGAGTATATTCAACAGATGAATCCTAACAGAAGTCGCATTTTTAAAGGACCAGTAAAATGAAATTGGAACCATAAACACGTCATTCTGCAACCGATACTAAATTCTTCATTTGGTCAGATATAGAAGCTATATCTAAATCTGAACCGATTTCAGGAAACTTAACACACATCATTCTAGACCTAATTTGTTACGCTGTGCCAAATTTCGTGCAAATCGAAAGATATATAGGGACTTTGTTGCACCATTTACATTAAATCTGACGAAAGTATATGTGGGAGCTATATATAAATCTGAACCGATTTTCAGGCAACTTTACACACATCATTCTAGACCTAATTTGCTACGCGGTGCCAAATTTCGTGCTTAAATCGACTCAAAAAGTGATTCTATGCATATTCTCAAAAGGAGCCATGGGTCTATCTCGATTATTTTTGCATGTTACAAACATATGCACAAAAACATAATACCCTGTACCAGAAAAAAGAATTTGGTTCAATAACCTCAAAACCTTGGGGGCTACCAGAAAAAATTGACCAATATTTATAATTTATAGTGGAGAGATGTGCTACCTAATAAGAACTCGACGTACTAAATTACAGTCAATTTGGTCGAAAAATCCGATCAGAACCCCCAAAATACCAAAAATTTTGGGGTACCGTTATATGGGTACTACCAGAAAAACTGGACCTATATTTATAATTTTTAGTGGAGTAATTTGGTACCCAATAAGAACCCAATGTACAAAATTTCAGCGAATTCAGTTATAAAACGAGCCCAAAAACCCGAAAATACCGAAAATTGGGGGTGCCCTTATATGGGGGCTTTCCGAAAAAATGGACCTTTATTTATAATGTTTGGTAGGGAGATTTGCTACCCAATAAGAACTCAATGTACAAAATTTCAGGGAATTCAGTTAAAAAACGCGCTCAAGAACCTCAAAATACCGAAAATTAGGGGGTACCCTTATATGGGGGCTATGCGAAAAAATGGACCGATATTTATAATTTTTGGTAGGGAGATTTGCTACCCAATAAGAACACAAAGTACCAAATTTCAGCGAATTCGGTCGAAAAATGCGATCAAAACCCCCAAAATACCGAAAATTGGGGGTAATCTTATATGGGGGCTATCCGAAAAAATGGACCTTTATTTATAATTTTTGGTAGGGAGATTTGCTACCCAATAAGAACTCAATGTACAAAATTTCAGGGAATTCAGTTAAAAAACGCGCTGAAGAACCTCAAAATACCGAAAATTTGGGGGTACCCTTATATGGGGGCTATGCGAAAAAATGGACCGTTATTTATAATTTTTGGTAGGGAGATTTGCTACCCAATAAGAACACAAAGTACCAAATTTCAGCGAATTCGGTCGGAAAATGCGATCAAAAAATACCGAAAATTGGGGGTAATCTTATATGGGGGCTATCCGAAAAAATGGACCTTTATTTATAATTTTTGATAGAGAGATTTGCTACCCAATAAGAACTCAAAGTACCAAATTTCAGCGAATTCAGTTAAAAAACGCGCTCAAGAACCTCAAAATACCGAAAATTTTGGGGTACCCTTATATGGGAGCTATGCCTAAATGTGGACCGATTTTTTCCAATTTCAATAGGGTTCGTCCTTGGGCCAATTAAGTGACCTGTGCCAAATTTCATCCAAATCGGTTCATAAATGCGACCTGTACTTTGTTAACAAAAATACATGGACGGACGGACGGACGGACGGACAGACGGACAGACGGACATGCATAAATCGACTCAGAAAGTGATTCTATGCATATTCTCAAAAGGAACCATGGGTCTATCTCGATTATTTTTGCCTGTTACAAACATATGCACAAAGACATAATACCCTGTACCACAGTGTGGTGAAGGGTATAAAAATGCGACCTGTACTATGTGTACATTTAACATGGACAGACAGACGGATGGACGGACATGCATAAATCGACTCAGAAAGTGATTCTATGCATATTCTCAAAAGGAACCATAGGTCTATCTCGTTTCCTTTTGTCCGTTACAAACATATGCACAAAGAATTAATACCCTGTAACAAAGTGTGGTGAAGGTATAAAAAGGGGGTATATGGGGACTATTTGTACGTATTAAGAAGTCAAAATACTAAATTACAGCCAATTCGGTGGGAAAATACGATCAAACCCTCCAAAATACTAAAAATTAGGAGGTACCGTTATATGGGGGCTACCAGAAAAAATGGACCTATATTTATAATTTTTTGTAGGGAGATTTGTTACCATATACGACTACAAGATACCAAATTTCACACCTATTGAGCGAATAGTGGATGAACAAATATTAAAAAAAATAAATGCCTATTGATTGGACAAAAATATTCTTAAAAAATCCATTGATAGGATAGTGGTGTAAAAAAATATTCTTGAAGAAATATAATCAAAAAATCAAACCTTTTTTAAATGACTTTTCGAGTCCATTCTGGTACAGCTCATTTAATTGACCCAATAACGATCTTTGTCCCTTCCTCTTTAATACGTTTTGCCAAAAAAAGTTACTCAATTATCTTGCTGCTTCTAAAAATATCCGTTTGTTTTATTAATTTGTAAAAATTCACTTTTATAACAAATGATGATTATTCACTCCTTGGTCCATCGGGACGATAGTGATGACCATCTTCCTTATATTCCTTGTTAACCTTCAACGAATGATTAATGGTGCTGGTGCCACCGGGAATGCCAGGATATCCTTGGGGTCCTTGAGTTGGGGGGCCTGCTTGACCTGGAGCTGGTCCATTTGGTGGTACTACTCCAGGTTGTTGGGGTGCTGCTGGTGGTGGAGGTTGATTATAATAACCACCATATGGATAGGGATTACCATAGGGTATGGGTTGTGGTGGTGGAGCCTGTTGATAATAATAGGGCATTGGTGGTTGTTGATAATAAGGATAGCCATAGGGTGGTGGAGCAGCTTGTGGTACATAAACCGGATGATTGTAATGATATCCAGGATGGGGATAGTAAGGCATCGGTGCTGGTGGTGCCTTTCCCTTGTATTTGCGACCCTTACCACTTTCGCTGCTGTCACTACCGCTGCCACTATCACTGTCGCTATCGCTGTCACTATCGGCCCGTACACCCATAAATAAGGCCGTAACCAAAAGTACACTTAAAAACCATTGAAAACGGTTCATTGTAATCTGAATTCTCCCTGGACGTCTGCTTTGTTGAAGACACAAATTCGAACTGACCATGAATATGTGACACTTAGTCAAAAGCTAAGCTTTAAAGAATCTTACTATTTTTCTTTCTTTTTCGATTAGATCTGGATGATAAGGCGCCACAATGTCATCTATGTGAGATGATTCTAAAAAGAAAAGAGAACAGATTGAAGATCGCCAATGTTTTGAACGCATAGGGACGTATCATGTCGTATCAGAATGTGTATGTGGGAATCATCAAGGTTATGCAAAGATGACTAAGTAGCATTATTGAAATATGTGTGGTTTTGGAAACCACACATTTTTTGGGGCCAAAATGATAAATTTAAGGTTCTATAACGTGTTTTTGATATTTGACACACATGTGATTAATATGGCTGGAACTCAATGTTTTGTTTTTCTGTTGAATGAGGACAATTTTTAACGAATTAAAAGAAAGGGAGTTTAAAAATCGTTTTAAAAATTTAGGTTTTGTTATAGCTTCCATATAACGGCACAAAAATAAAAATGCGACTTAGCATATTTTACGAAATTAAAATTGAATTATGATATACATATACAAAGTCTTGTCAGTTTCAATTGCCAGGGTGACAATGCTGGGATCAAGGTATTTGATGGGAGATATCTTGCTTTAAAAAGACATTGATAACACAATCTGTGAACACCGAGAGAAATAAATATATATACAATAGGAGATTTCATATAGAATGATATTTTGTAACGATCTTAAATTTTATTGATCGGATAGTTGTTGAAAAAATATTTAAAAAAAATCCACACCTATTGACCTGATAGTGGTTAAAAAAATATTTTTAAAAAATCCACGCCTAATGATCGGATAGTTGTTGAAAAAATGTTTAAAAAAATCCACACCTATTGACCTGATAGTGGTTAAAAAAATATTTTTAAAAAATCCACGCCTAATGATCGGATTGTGGTTGAAAAAATATTTTTAAAAAATCCACGCCTAATGATCGGATTGTGGTTAAAAAAATATTTTTAAAAAATCCACGCCTAATGATCGGATTGTGGTTAAAAAAATATTTTTAAAAAATCCACGCCTAATGATCGGATTGTGGTTAAAAAAATATTTTTAAAAAATCCACGCCTAATGATCGGATTGTGGTTGAAAAAATATTTTTAAAAAATCCACGCCTAATGATCGGATTGTGGTTGAGAAAATATTTTTAAAAAATCCACGCCTAATGATCGGATTGTGGTTGAGAAAATATTTTTAAAAAATCCACGCCTAATGATCGGATTGTGGTTGAAAAAATATTTTTAAAAAGTCCACGCCTAATGATCGGATTGTGGTTGAAAAACATTTCTTTAAAATATCCACGCCTAATGATCGGATTGTGGTTGAAAAAATATTTTTAAAAAATCCACGCCTAATGATCGGATTGTGGTTGAAAAAATATTTTTAAAAAATCCACGCCTAATGATCGGATTGTGGTTGAAAAAATATTTTTAAAAAATCCACGCCTAATGATCGGATTGTGGTTGAAAAAATATTTTTAAAAAATCCACGCCTAATGATCGGATTGTGGTTTAAAAAATATTTTGAAAAAATCCACGCCTATTGAACTGATAGTGGTAGAAAAAATATTTTTAAAAAATCCAGGCCTATTGATCGGATAGTTGTTGAAAAAATATTCTTTAAAAAATCCACGCCTATTGATCTGATAGTGGTTAAAAAAATATTTTTAAAAAATCCACGTCTATTGATCTGATAGTGGTTGAAAAAATATTTTTAAAAAATCTACGCCTAATGATCGGATTGTGGTTGAAAAACATTTCTTTAAAGGATCCACGCCTATTGATCTGAAAGTGGTTTAAAAAATATTTTTAAAAAATCCACGCCTATTGAACTGATAGTGGTAGAAAAAATATTTTTAAAAAATCCACGCCTATTGATCTGATAGTGGTTGAAAAAATATTTTTAAAAAATCCACGCCTATTTATCTGATAGTGGTTGAAAAAATATTCTTAAAAAATCCACACCTAATGATCGCATTGTGGTTGAAAATAGATTCCTAAAAAATCCCCGCCTAATGATCAGATAGTTGTTAAAAAAATATGTTTAAAAAATCCACGCCTATTGATTTGATAGTGGTTGAAAAAACATTTAAAAAAAAATCAGATAGTGGTTGAAAAAATATTCTTTAAAAAATCCACGCCTATTGATCTGATAGTGGTTGAAAAATATTTTAAAAAACCCAGGCCTTCTCATCGGACAGTGGTTGAAAAATTTTTTTTAAATAATCCATGCCTGTTGATTGGACTGTGATTGAACAAAATCTTTTTAAAAAATCCCCGCCTAATGATCGGATAGTAGTTGAAAAAAATATTCTTAAAAAATCCACGCCTATTGATCGGATAGTGGTTGAAAAAATATTCGTGTTTTGTTGTTGCTTTAAAAACATCCGTTTGTTTTATTGAATTATACAAATCCGCTTTTATAACAAATAATGATTATTAAATTATTGATCCATGGGGACGATAGTGGTGACCATATTCCGTATATTCCTTTTTAACCTTCAACGAATGATTAATAGTGCTACTGCCAACGGGAATACCAGGATATCCTTGAGGTTGATTATAATAAGTACCATATGGATAAGGATTATCATAGGGTATGGGTTGTGGTGGTGGAGCCTGTTGATAATCATAATAATAGGGCATTGGTGGTTGTTGATAATACGGGTAGCCATAGGGTGGAGGTGGAGCCGCTTGTGGTTCATAAACCGGATGATTGTAATGATATCCAGGGGGGTAAGGCACCGGTGCTGCCTTTCCCTGGTATATGCGACCCACACCCCTTTCGCTGCTGTAAGGCACCGATGCTGTTGGTGCCTTTCCCTGGTATTTGGGACTCATACCACTTTCGCTGCTGTCACTACCGCGACTATCGCTGTCACTATAGTAAGGCACCGGTGCTGGTGGTGCCTTTCCTTGGGGTTTGCGACCAATGCCACTTTCGCTGCTGTCACTACCGCGACCACTGTCATTATCACTGTCGCTATCGCTGTCACTATAGCTGTCACTATCGCTGTCACTATCGTTGTCACTATCGCTGTCATTATAGCTGTCACTATCGTTGCCAATATCGCTGTCACTATGGCAGTCACTATAGGCCCGTACACCCATAAATAAGACCGTAACCAAAAGTACACTTAAAAACCATTGAAAACGGTTCATTGTGTTTATTGTAATCTGAATTCTCCGGGACGTCTGTTTTGTTGAAGAAACGACTCCGAACTGAATGTGTGACACGTAGTCAAAAGCTAAGCTTTAAAGAATGTTTTTTATTTTTCTTTCTTTTTCGTTTCGATATGCAGGATAACGCGCAACAATGTCATCTATGAAAGATGACTCAAAAAAGAACAGATTGAAGACCGAAAATGCTTTGAATGCATAGGCCAGGGTGACAATGCTGGGATCATGGTACTTGATGGTAGATGTCTTGCTTTAAAAAAGACATTGATAACACAATCTGTGAACACAGAGAGAAATTAATATTCAAATTTGCTGACGCGAAATATTGGTCCTAGACCCCCCCTTTAAGTACATCGATCGCATTTGTCGACTAGCTGAGTCGATATAGACATGTGTGTCCGTCCGTCTGTCCATTATAATTTGTAAACACGATACAGGCCATAACTATGGACCAATCTTCACGAAATGTTGTATGTAGCATGGATTCTGGCCAAGGAAGACACATTTTGTTTTTGGTAAATATCGGTTAATATTTAGGTCGTGGATTTTTATTTTTAAATATTTTTTCAATCCAAATATAAGGCGTGGATTTTTTAAAAATATTTCTCCCTGTGCAATAATAAATTCCAAGTTTCTAATTGATATGTTTGCATTATGTCAAAGTCAAGGTCAATTAAAGGCATTGTCCAACTTCTTTTGTAACACGAGAATCGGGTGTTGATACACTTTTTTAAATTGAAATAATTTACAATTATAACAATGTATTGTACACTTTATATATAAAGAAAACAAAATGGTATTAGATATAAACAAATCAATTGTGGAAATTGAAATCGAAACTGGATATTGGTACGAAAGAAGAAAAATTTTATAAGAAAGAAAACTCTCGAATCATTGCGGTGAATATCTCAAATAAGGTAGAATTGTCCAAGCCATAAAATTATACAAAATTTCGAAACATTTAAGCTCGTATCACTAATTTTTCTTATTTCCTATTGGCGGCTTTAAAAATAAATCTAAGCATTATCAGTGTTGGTCTCAATGTTACATATTTTTCAATTGTTTTTTATGATTTTTGATTAGAAAACGTGTGCATAGTTTAAATGATACGTGCGACATAATCTTTACAAGAATTCTTGAAGCTCAGTAGTGGACTGAAAACTTCGAAAAAGCTTGCGTCACTAATTCCACTATTAGAATTCTAAATTAAAATCTGACATATTTTGTATTAATATGTTTTTTTTTTGTTTTATGTGTATGCCTGTTGAAGTGATAAGTGCGACAGCTTCTACCGAATATTTTATTGTTTTTGATTTCTGGGAATTCCGTATTGGGGTGAATGAAAATGGATTCTCCGAAAAATAATTATAATGATAACTAAAAAATATAAATACAAAGGCCAAAGTCGGACGACCCAAAAAAAAAAAGAAAAAAAAAATTAAAAAGTCGAACGGAGCCGACTCTATGTTACCCTTCACCACTTTGAGAAGATACAATGGATACAATATCCTGTAGATATAACGTGGACAGAAATATCATCTTTAGAGGACATTTGAAAAATGTGAAAAATTCCATGTCCATCGGGGAGACTTGGATTCTTTGGTGCACCATTTGTATGGATATGTCATATATCATTTGGTATGCTGCAGCACAGTGCGGGGTTCGGTACAACATTTACATAAAATCGAACGAAACTATATATGGGAGCTTCTAAATCGATTTAAAAAAATAACCAGTCAGCGGAGCAGTATAGTCGGACGGGGCAGACCATCCGATACCCTACACACTGCTCTAACTTTCTGTGGATGTTTATTCCGAGCCTAGGCAATATTTCGTGATAGTTGCACCCTCTTGACCGACTAGAGGTCAACAAATATTACTAAGATTCCGTACAGCCCTTCTAATTACTTGTTCAGATTCCCTTCACCGTGGCTTGTGTTTTAATGTGCGGCTTTCAGTTGTGGCCTATAGATCGACTCGAAAAACACACAAAATATTAAGTTTTCTGTTCAAATCATCCCAAAATTATTATCTGATCATCAACGATAATTATAGGCGTTACCCTTGACCATACCTGGATCATCATGGAAAATTTCAAAGCGATCCGCGCCTTCTAGTGTGGTTTTGGGTTACCAAATAATATATGAATACGTAAGCACCTGTAAATATTTACGTGTAACTCCCACATCCAAGTACATACGACAATATAATTGGTCGATCACTCCTCTTGGATTTACTATCAGCTTCTAGGGTCTCTGTCCTCCAGAGGTAAATACATACGCTATAGAATACAAATTTTGTCATTTTTCACACAAAGGTCAGGGTCCATTTGACCTGCTAAATATTGACCGATCTTTATCACAAGAAAATTACGTGAAGATTGGTCCATAACTGTGGCCTATATTGTGTTTACAAATTATAATGGACAGACGGACGGACAGACACACACATGTCTAGATCGACTCAGCTAGTCGAGATATGACGATCGGTATACTTAAAGGTTGGTCTAGGACCAATATTTCGCGGCGTTACAAAACTCTTGGGGCTGCACAAAGTTATAATACCCTGAAAGGATAGTTGTGCAGGGTATAAAAATCGCATATATCAATCAGTACCTAATTCAGTACTCTGTGCCAAATGTTGTCCCAATCGGACCCATATTCGGAGTGCACCATTTACTTAAAATCGGACGAACCTGTGTGTGGGAGCTATATCTAAATGTTAAAAATGACAAAATTTATATTATACTCCTGAAGGACATAGACCCGAGAAGTTGATAGAATATCCAAGAGGAGTGGTTTGCCTTTAAAGTGATACCAATTATATTGTCGTATGTACTCGGATGTGGGAGTTACACGTAAATATTTACAGGTGCTTACGTATTTTGATATTATTTAGTAATCCATTACCACACTGGAGGGCGGAAATATAGCACTGATCACTTTAAAATGTTCCATGAGGTTCCTGTTATGGTCAAGGACAACGCCTATAATTTTCGGTGACGATCAGATAATAAATTTGGGATAAAGTAGATCAAAAGCTTATTTTTTGTGTATTTTTTTTTTTGAGTCGATCTATAGACCACAATTGAAAGTTGATCACTACACAACCCGCGGTGAAGAAAATATCGACAAGTAATTAGAAGGACTGTAATTAATTACAAGGACTGTGCTGAATATTAGGCCCAGTTAACCTCTAATCGAAGCCTCTGGGCCTCAGCATTAAGTGTCAGGCTGCGCGTAGCGCCCTAAGGCTGCATGAACAAAAACTCTTGCGGAACTGTAGCTTTGGGCATAGTAGTGTTCTGAATGAACCTGGTATAGCATTGGACTAAGGCGTTAAACTAAGCGACTATATATCATCAATCCTCAGATTTGACGATGTAGATGTCGTTATTCCTAGTAGAGACGACTGGAAACGAAGTAACCCTCCTCTGGACGGACTGGCCTTCTATACAGATGGATCCAAGATGGAAGAAGGTACTGGGGCAGGCGTCTACTGTGAAAGGTTAGGCCTTGAGTTAACCTACAAGCTGGATAGCAACTGTAGTGTTTTCCAAGCTGAAATCTTCGCGATCTGGAAGACAGCGGAATTGAAAAAAAGTTTGGATGCTGAGGTCGTTGAACCGGTGACTATCTTTGTGGATAGTCAAGCGGCTCTTAAAGCCATCAAATCTTGTCGCATCAAATCCGAAGCCGTCTTCAAGTTTAGAGCAGCTCTGGAAGAACTAAACCATAGCTATCGGTTGTGTTGGGTACCAGGATATTGTGACATCTTGGGTAATGAAAGAGCGGACGAACTAGCTAGACGAGGATCTCAATCCACCGATCTAGAAACTGATGACTCAATCAAACCACCCATATGTCTTTTCTATAGGAATTTTGAGGCATTCTTTGACGAAATAGCCTGTGAACTTTGGCACAACGAACCTAGGTGCAACGTGTCAAGATCCATTTGGGCGACTCTGTCTACCAAAAGAACGCACTCACTATTGAACCTGAGCATAGCTGAAATTAGAGTGATGACGGGAATCTTCACTGGTCACTGCAACTCAGGGCTTTTTCTAGTAAATGGGATCTTGATGCAATTGATTACTGTAGATTCTGTGTTGACGAGCAGGAGACGGAGACAATTGAGCATCTCCTGTGTCATTGCCCAGCCCTGGCTTACAGGCGACACATACTAATGGGTGCTCATTTTCTACTGAGTCTCAGCTTCTTCTCAACAACCGAACCTGCTCTAATCTACAGCATAATTAGAAACATAAAGTGTAAAGTAAAGGTTAGGAGCATACAACCTTGGCACGTAACACTTTTTCTGTCTGACTCATAGGGCCATCGACCTTCATTCTTCACTACTTTAATTTACTAATCTTCTCTCCCCTACAGATCTGTCCTTGTCTGTCCATGTTAAATTGTACACAAAGTACAGGTCGCATTTTTGATTCGAATTGCACGAAATTTGGCACAGATCATATATTTCGCCCAAGGACGAACCCTATTAACATGAAAATCGGTGAAAATAGGTTCAGATTTAGATATAGCCCCCATATATATTTTCGTCCGATTTAAGGTAAATGGGACACCAAAATACCTAAATAACTTTCGATTTGCACGAAATTTGGCATAGCGTACTGAATTAAGTCTATAGTGATGTGTGTTAAGTTTCATTGAAATTGGTTCAGATTTAGTTATAGCTCCCATATATTTTCGTCCGATTTTATGTATATGGTGTAGCAAAGTCTCTATATATCCTTCAATTTGCATGAAATTTGGCATAGTTTACTGAATTAAGTGTAGAATGAGGCGTGCTAAGTTTTGGTTCAGATGAAGACATGTTGTGCGGATGAATGAATATGCCCCAGCTCAAAAGGCATATAAAAATGAGCCTACTAATGGTTCCCGTAGAAGGGGAAGACCACGAATTAGATGGAAAGACCAAGTAGAAAACAACATCTTGGCACTTGGAAATCTTTTTTAAGC